GCCGGGGGGAAGCAAAGCGGCCGGCAGCGAGAGGCTGCCCGCCGGGGCGGGCGGAGGGCAACCGGGCGGGCCGAGGGGGCTGCCCGCGCCCCTGGCCCTCGCTCGTCCTCGGCTGCCGCCCCCCGCCGCGCCGGACGGGGCGTTCCTGTCCGGCCGCCTCGATGTTCGTTTTAACAAGCCGCCGTAATTGCTTCCCTTTGCCTCAGCTGGGTTGCCCGCCCTCGCACCTCCCTGGGAGCGCAGAAGAGGCCCTCGGATCTTGCACGCTGGCCTCCCGGCGCCGGGCTGCGGCTCGGTGCAGGATGCAAGTGTGTCTGCAGCTCTCATGAGCTGTGGACGTTAAAGGATTTCAAGGACGTTTCCCCCCATTCATCCCAGTTATGTCCCCTGCTAAAATAGGTTAACGGTGTCTAATTAACCACTGCACATTGTCATGCTGCATAAAGATAGCATCCTGGCTGTTCTCTGAGCACTGCTACTTTATCTCCATTTAGATCTCCGTGGTAGTCCATTAAATGAGAAAGAAACAGTTTAACAGAGATGATGTCTGCATTAGAACTGCCTTTCACCCTTCAGCACAGAAGTTGCAGGCAGCTCCAAGGCAGCTCGGCTGTACGTTAGGGGTGTGGGGGGGAAAGCCTCAGTTTTGAGGTTTAACCCCCTCTCATTAGTGTGGAGGGAGGATTCCTGCTGGCCAGAACTGAACAAAGATAACACTCGAGCAAGATCAGATCTATATCCTCTGCCCCAGGATACAGCCAGGAGAGAAATAGGTATTCTGTACTGGGAGTTATATAACATGGGGTTACATGGGGTCTGTCGGGGTCTTCTGCCCAGTTTCTCAGCTGTTCAACACCCTGAAATAGAAAGGGGGTCAGCAGCTGGCCAAAGCCAGAGGGAATATTCTGGGATTTTGGTTACGTTTGGGAGCACAGGCAGCCTTGCGGGGAAAGGGTGTTTAAAAGGAGCTGTCCGGCTGACGGGGTTGGACCATGTTCTTTGGCCCTCCAGATGCAATGGGCTTGGCAGAAGAAATGAGAGAGACAGAGGTATCGCTGTCTCACAAAAACTGGGGGTGGCTGGTGTATAATGCAGCAGACTGAATGCATTTCTGAGCACTGCTCCCAGGAATGTATTGTCTTGTTTGCCCTTACACCCTGAATGGGTGTATCTATAGTTCATACACAGTTGCTCATTTTGTAGACACTTGTTGCTGTCCTCCCTGGGCTGTGCCTCCTGCTGGAGCAGACAAACCAGGGCAGTGCACTTCTTGTTGCTGAGATCATAAGAAAAGAGCAGGAAATCTGTCTATGCTGGCTTAAGTCTGGTTTCTTCCATGTCTGCTTTCACTCTAGAGAGCTTTGCCCATGTGGTGAATGAAGAGGATGATGTGTACCCAGGCCTGATATTCCTGAAGGATGAAATGTTGGTCTCAACGTGTTGCAATTGGCATTGATAAGCTGAGCCAGTTCTCAGAAAGGGGTACTCCACAATGCTTAAAGCAGTGTGAGAACTTTATGGAGAATGCCTGTGGGGCTTCCCATAGTGCCTGGAGGGCAAAGAGGCAGGCAGGTGACTGGTTCTGCAGGAATAGTATCTCCATCTATAGCTTAGCCCTTGGTTAAGCTTATGGAATGGACAGGGTTGGAGGTAGGGCACCTTTTGAGGATCCGTTAATGACTTAGCTTACTGCCTTGAAGGTTTTTAACCTTAGGGCACAAGGCAAAGCTTGTCTTTTCTCTCAGGGTCACTTTGTTAGGTACATTTAGGTGATGCGATTGGACGGAAAAAGCAAAAGATTAATCAGGAACAAACCAAAAATATTTTGTGAAATTTTTTTTCCAATCTGAAACAAGGAATGAAGAAGTAATTTGACATCAAACAAAATTAAAGGAAGCCTCATGAAAAAAGAAAGGAAATAGTAGGCTGGTTGGTATCTTCTTTACCTAATAGCTCAATCATTAAGGCCACAAAGAGTGTAAAACATGCAATTCCTTCCTGTGCCCCAGAAGTTTCACACTATATTTCTGCGTGTGAGCTTATCAGCTGGTTTGAAATGCCAGTTGCATCAAATAATGCTATTCCAAATCATATATTAACGGACATATCTAGTACAGGTGACTGGAAGCAGATGCCTCACCTAAACAGAACAACAGTCATTTCTAGCTCCTGCTCTAGTGCCATTGGTATTTAAATGCTCCGTATAAATCACAGTACTGTTGGCATGAGAGACTGGCATCACCAACTGCCACCTTTGGACCCTGTGGCAGAGGGACAAGGGTGTTCTCCTGGGGGGGCTGACTGTGGGGCTTTAGCTTGCCTTAGAGAGAGGAGGGAACTGTCTTGTTTGACAGGAGAGTGTTCTAACACCTGGGCTCTGGGATTAAAGGGGTCAGTACTATTCTCTCCTCCCAGTTTATGAATTTGTTCCCCAAATTACTATTTTTTCCAATCTAGTGCAGCTATCTCATAATGAAGTATTTGCTTATTGCCCTAAATAAGTCCTTTCCTAGCGTAAAAAGGAAAAGTTGAAAAAGATTTAAGTCTTGGAGCATGAGTGAAGCAGTCTCTTCCTCTAGGACTAAAATATGACTGCCTTCCCTGTGGGCCACCTGGATACCTGTCATGACAGGGAGCTCAGGAAAAAGAAACAGAAATTGCTTACAGGGATAGCAGGAGTGACCCTCTCCTGGGAAGTATAAACATGTGGAGTGTTTCACTCCTGCCTGGGGATAGGAGATGAGTAAAGATGTAAGGAGTGTGAGTACTGAGGAATAGAATGTTATTTGGGGCTGGACAATTATCAAGAGTAACGAGATCATGCTAAGAAGAGGTTAGATTGAACCTCCAGGGAATAATCTCACTGTGCAAGGCTGTGCAATGCCATGCAATGCCATCATTTGGGATGTTTCAGCTCAGTGAGGGCAAGGCTCTGAAGACAGGGTGTGGGAAGCAGTTCTTTGAAGGCAGAAGGGAGAGATAAAATAGGATAAATCTTGCATCATCTTTCCATCTCTGTCTTGTCAGATTCTAAACTCTAGTGGGAGCTGGGGGTGGGCTCTCTGAAGCCATCCCTTTCTTTCTCCATAGTATCAGGGGGTTCACAAAAAGTGCTTTGCACTACCACTGCGGAGAAGGTCGGAGCTGGACAATTGCTCCTCACTGGAACAGCTCTTTCCTAAATTCCCCAGCTGCATTGCACTTCTGCCTCTTCTGATGAACAGAAGTGTGCAGATATAGCTGAAAGCCCAGATGCAGATGTCACCTACACAGCTGCAGTTCTGATTATAGCAGTGGATATTACTGGGCTCAGATGTGCCCTGCCTCTTAGAAGAGTAGGTTATGCACAGGAGAGCTAGATGAGGACCATAACCTGCTAGAACAGAGAGCAGATGAGGAGAGGCCTGTCAGATCTCATGGAAGTGCTTTGACAGGAGCAGTGCAAGGCAATGAAGCAACTTCTCTTACATCTTCCTGTGTCCTGGGATAGTGCATGTGGTAGGGGAGAGGCCCATGTATTCTTTGTCATGACACCCTGACTTCAAGGGAGGGGAGAATATTTATTCCCAATGCATAGAGATGAAACTTCACTCTGCAAAATGGCCAAAGCAATCAGCAAGTGATGGAGTATCTGCTAAAAAGAAACCTGGCATTTAATTAACTTTTCAAAGTGCTGGTTCAGCAACCTCCATGTTTTACATTTTGAATATTGAACAAGCGTCCCTAATCGGGACTGAATTACTTCTGGGCTTGCTGGGGTGGAGAGCAAGGGAGCTGCCATTTGCCAGTGCCTCCCCCCCACGTTATTATTATGAACTCCTGTTAACTCAGCCAGATCAACCCTGATTTACTGCAGCAACAGCATGCCTCACCTGAACTTGGCCAGCTCAGATGGGGCTCCTTAACTACAAAGGCAACCAAATAATCTTTATGCACAACCAGGGGGAGGAAGGACCTGTTGATCTCTCAGGGATAGGTAGACAAAGTATAGCATCTTAATGTACAGCACTCCTTAATGTGCTGACCTCTCTACTCAGGTAAGGCAAACTTTACCTGCAGCTGATAGCAGAGGGGATGAAAAAGTATCTGAGAAGCTACAAAACCAGGGACTATGGCTCTTGCTGTATCTGGGCATGGCTGTCTTTTTGGACCCAAATAGTTCTGCTTCAATCTGATGCACTCAGGGACTTTTTGGTAGACTGGTTTAATGGTCACTCAGAACTTTTCAAAGGTGCGATGTGTTATATCGGATCTGGTGTAGGAACTGTTTTGCACAATAACAGTGATATAGGGAACAGTGCAGTTTTTTAATTTTTTCTAGCCTTTTCTAAGCATAAGCCTTTCCTTGTCTTGCAGGTCAGGAAGAAAGCATGCAGAAGAAGTAGAAGAGTAAGTTCCCGTTGTTGCTGAGACTTCTTCCATGACTTTTACATCTGATCTCATGGAGTAGGGACATGCTACTCAAAGCACCAGTACACCAAGATCTGGAACTTGGGAAGGGTGCAGAGCCTAGGCTGAATTCATGTCATGTGTCCTGGGATGGTGCAAGGCTGGTCACTCTGTAGTTCCCTGGTTATGGAGTAGGTGATGGCTCTGTCCCATATGACAGAAAGAAGGAAAAGTAGAAAGCATCTGCTTTCCTCCCAGACCCATCCCAGGCCCTGCTGCCTGCAGCCTAGGGGTTTGTCTCAGGTACAAGGCATCTTGCTTAAGCACTCTAAGCTGAGATTTCTGCTGAGTCCAGCAATGAGGGGTATGGAAGGAGGTCAGTCTGCAGGCTAAGCATACCTGGGAACTCTGCCACTGACAGGCCACGAGGCTTGTGGGAAGGAAGGGGACACAACGAGATGCTTTTCTGGGCTTGCAATTGAAATTCTTTCTTCCTTGTGTTTTGCTGCAGCCATCGTCTCAGACAGCAGAGCCTGGAGGCATCAGATGATGGAGGAGGTAAGGTATCACCTACTTGACTGCAAGAAGTGCCTTCATGCACATCTGGTGATTCTCCAGTAAAGTGAGGAGAGGCATCTTGTAAGAAATTGCAAGGAAATGAACCACCCTGGGGGTAGACAAATGCAGGAGCTGCTTAAATCTCCCCAGCTGCTGAATGAGAGAGAGAGAGAGCAAAGGAGATGGAGAGGAGGATGAGGAAGTGAACCTGTAGTCTAACTCTGGCTCTTCATTAACACAGAACAATAAAGCACCTTTGGGAAGAAGGAACGTGTCGAGAACACACTTTTCTCTGTGATTACCTCCACATGGAGAATAGTGGACTGGGGCAAAAAGAGAGCTAAAAGAGCAATAAAAGGTTAAGAGCAGGGAAAGAAATCACTGCTGTCCCCTAGTTTAGGTGATAGTATACTCTACTTAAAGTCTCTCTTACGTTTTATGATAACATCCCTGTCTTGTTCCCATCAGGACAAGTGCCTGCACTGCTCTCCTTGGGTCTCTGTCATGGGGCAATTTAAAAAATCCACTTGCCTAATCCAGGATCATAGATCATAAGCAAAACATAGGCACTGGTGGGTAATCCCATCCCAACCCTCTGCAGGCTGCTCTGAAGTCTACTGGACTCCTGACTTAGCACTAGTTTTCTTGATAGTGTGTATCACCTGCTCTTCCAGGACTGGATGAGCCAAGAGAAATCTCAGGAAAAATCCACACTATGGATTTTGAGACAAGCACTAGAGAACTTGTCTATGGGGAGCATAGAAGTTCATTAAAGTCTCTAGGAGCTACCTCAGTTTTCAAGGGCTAAGAATTTTATACAGTGTATAAATTTTATACAGTGTATAAAAAGTTGCATCTGTAAAATATCACCAAGCATCAGAAGAATTACCAGGAGTCACAAAGGATCAGACATCAGTATGGTTAATGAGATTAAAAGAAGACTTATTTGGGTTTTCCAGACAGATTAAGCATTGCAACATATGACTGCCAGAAGTGGCACCTTTATAGCATTGGCATCTTCAGAACAGACTTAATTTCCCCCCTGGGAAGTTTCTTGGGCTTCTTAAATTTCAGCGTATGTCACTGAGGCTGGTAGACTGTTCTGAACAGCTCTTTGAGTGTTTGCATACGTGCTGTCCTTCTTGTTGAACCTTGGTCTTGTATTCAGAGTATAATAACTGTCTTTGCTAACCAGCCATAAAAATGCTTGCCACATGTTTGCAGCATGTGACTTTTAGTGCTCCAAGACCTTGGGTAATAAATACAGAATAGAATTGATGCAGAATGTGGTATGAAGACATGGCAAGTCCTAATACACTTCACTTATTTATCTGTGCCTAACCTATGGTTAACAGTTGAATTTCGATTGTTTGCAAACCAGAGTTCAGTTTTGGATTAAATCTGTGTGTTAGAAGAAAGATCCCACTAATCCGTTCCTACCCAGGCAGTTTCTGGTACAGTCAAATACACTGGGTTGTGGATCTAATTTGCGTGTGGAAAAATCTCTAAATGGATCAGTGCATTGCGTGCTTGTGGTCCTATTTCTACAGGGACATTAAGCAAGTTATTCTGGGACAGGAGTTTTCCATGTGGACTCAGCAACTGCAGTGGAGAAAAGTGACATATAAACAAATGCCAGAACCTAAATAAAATTACTTTTTTGAATAAGCAGAGATACAAATAACTGCCCAGTGTAGAAGGCAGGGAGTAGCATGCTGTGGCTGTGCAGTAAGTTGAGCCGTATCAGCATCCCCTTTGCACAGAACTGCACTTGGGCTTGTGTCCTTAACTGTAACAGTAAAGCTCAGATTCTAAACATACAAAAATCAAGACATTGGTGTATGGATCCCCAAGGATGGGTCACGGTTATTTTGTGCTGCATAATGTGTTAGCTTGTACACCTTAATATGAACAGGCACAGTTGCGTAATGATTGCTGCTGTCAACCAATACATTTGAATCGCCTTTCTTTAACCTATTAGAAAGCTGAGCTGTACCATTCCATTAACATTGTTTGTCCCCCACCCAACCTTTTCATTAAAAGAATGAAGGGCAAAACTATATGCCCTTAAAAAGGTATTCTTGTGTATTTGAAATGTGCTCAGTTATGATCATTTATCCATCACTAACACGCAGAGGCTCAGAATTTGGAGTCTGTTGGAGAAAGTGTTGAAAAAGCATAGGGCCTGGAGAGAGCCCAGTTTGGCATGTGGAGAATGGAGGGAATGTTGTACAGCCAAGTAGAGACTTTTGGGCTTGATATGCCTTGTAGTTTCAGAAATAAAAGTAGATTTCTCTCACTGCTCCTGGCCATTCACCCCATGCATGAAATAGCATCTGATTCCTCATATCAATGGGAGTTTGGGACAGAAGGACAGTCGCTTCTCAGGCTGTATAGAAAGACTGAAGTAATATGGGAGATTGTAAGGGGGTGGACCAGACAGGGACATGCATGGAACTATCTGCAGTTTCAGCCATTCCTTACAGTTGCACAGGGAAACCCAGATGGTGCAAGTCATCCATACTGTGCAATTCAAACTGTTGAAATACTAGCAGTGAAGCACCTTGGCTCAGGTTGTGCTCAGAATTCATTTTCTCTAATCCGTATTTCTTCTTCACGGAGGCTAGTCCAGGACAAGAGAGCCACCTTGAAGAGGAGCCAGTTTTGAGTTATAGGAAAGCAAAGACTTGTGTTTGACTAAAAGCACCATTTGCTCCTGTAAAACTCCAGGCTGGAAAGAAAGACTGTTTTGAAAAAGTGCAGTGCCTCTTCAGAAATAGCTCTGGAGTGTCTAGCTGATGGATATTGGGGTTTCCTACAGCACCCGCTGTGAGCTTAGTGTGCGTCCTCCTGAACACTCACTGGTACATGCTAGTACACAGGCATAGCAAATGGATAATGCACCTTTGATAGGTGGATGTGTGTCCAGCTGAACCTTGTTGGGGTAGGGGTGGGGGACGACAGGTTCTCTGCATGGTGGGAGACCTGCTTTAGCAGGATTTAATGCATCACAACTGGAGGAATAATAAACCTTCACAAGCAACACAAAAGTGTTTAATTCCTAAAGGACAGGCCTAGTTGAGTCACTTTTGGCCAGGGGCAATTGGGGGCTTAATGCTGTGTGTGTAGCAATCTGGGCAATCTGAGAGAGAGGAGTTTAAGGGTAATTGCTCAATTTTCTGTCCATGTCAACAGGGGAAATGGGCAGCAGTGACCGAGCTGTGTATGGCAAGGAAACTGCATGAGATGGTAGATGTGAGACTATCAGTGGAATTTAAAAAGTGCTATCTGCAGAGCAGTGCTTCCTTTTCTGTAGCAGCCAAGAGCTTCTCCCAAGTGCAGACTATTCTTTGTCATGAGGTGGAAGGGAAGACAGAACAACAAAGTTCACATTGAAAGGCTTTCCACTCCCTTTGCTCTTTTCTCCAGCAGGGCAGTAGAGTCTCTGCTTCGACTTTGCTTGGGTATTTCATTTGGCTTTACTCTGCTTGTGTGTCTCTTTCTGACGTGCAGCTACAAAGGGCTGTTTCCTGTTGGGGTGAGAAATGCTGTCATCCCTCCCCACCCTCATCAGCAAACCGCTTTGTCCTTTTGGCTAAAAGTTTCTTTGTTTTTCCTTTTTTGTCCACCAGTTCTGCACTGCTGAGTTGCACTTCCCCAGATGCCTGTCTCCTCACTATATTGCCCTTGGATTTTTCTCCTCGGTACTCTACTAGTGTTAGCTAAGGTTGGAATCTCTCCCCCAGCTATCCCTCCCCCATAGACTATTGCCCCATCTTCAGAAGTCCCTTCCCCCCTGCTCTCTGTTACCCTTGGGATGCATAGCTCCTAGAACAGGGCTTTTATTGGAGGATTGGGATGTGATGTGTGATTCTCTGTCTGCAGGAACAACGGCTTGTTATTTTAAAGCAGATAGTGTGTGTGAAAGAGACAGCTGATTGAAATGAAAGCCTGACTATGCTACACAGACAACCCAAACCTGACCTGCAGGTGAGGAAAGCTGCCAGGAGACAGTCACTAGATCTGTGCCCTCAAGGCAAAACCCCTTCCTGCCTGCTGGGAAGCCTCCTCAAGGAAGCGGAGCTGATGATTAGACCTCTCTATACAATGTCAAAGCTCTAGAAGGACTTCTTACCCTTCTGGTGTATGCCAGCAGCTCCTTTGCATTTGAACAGGGTGGGAGTCCAGGCTCAATGCACAACAGAAGAGGAACTGGGCATATGCCATGGTCCCCGCATCCCTCTGGGGAGTGATGTCTGTCTGTCAGGTGGGAGACAGCCCTCACAGGATATCCAGTACCTGGAATTCACAGCCATAAAATATCAAACATCGCTTGAGCTGCGTGCGAATACACACCAATGATGAAATTGTTCCAAACAGAGCTGAGAATAGAGTGCAGTGTCAGTTATTGTTGGTTCTGTCATTCCTCATACAGTTTGCCAGTTACTTCCCTGGTGAGCTGCTGTTTTTGCAGAACCCACCAAGTGCTGGTGGATTCCAGGGGCTGTGAGCTGCAAGGACAGCTGCATTGGCTGAGCATGAGGGTAAGACCACGGGGGTAGAATTTGCAGGAACAGTCAGGGAGATGGCCAGTGGGTACTTCATAGGCTCAGGAGGCAGTGGTGGAGTGGTTTGGGGAGAGCTAAATGGACGAAAAGTTCTGAGCATCAGTGAAATGGAGATGGAGTGAAAAACATGGTGTTTTGGAAGTAGTGTGAACGGGCTGAAGAGAGGGGCCTGGGGCAAAGAGTGACAGTGACTGCTGAGTTTCTGGGATTCTGCACTGTGACTCTGTGTGTGGCTCTGTCAGCACACCACAATCCTCCCCTTGGCTGCTCCCCTAATGCGCTACCCCGAGTCTCTATGCAAGGTCAGTGAAGGGCAGACTCAGCCCAACCTGATGGTTTCCACTGAGCTGTTGGTCCAGGCCAGTTTGAACTCCTCCAGTGACTGCTGGCATTGTGATCTAGAGCCTCTGGTGTTCAAGGAAAGCTCCCTCC